AGAATATTCTTCTTCTTCTCATGTCAAAAGATTAGTTGAGAAGCATAGAAGTCAACGACTTGAGCACTACTGATTTGCTTGCGATATTTGATCGAATCATGATGATCATTTTAGGACGTTTTCATTCCTATATAAACCAATCTCAAACATTCTCAGAAGCTTCGGAGCTTAAGGCATCAAATTTAGTTCGAGAAATCTGAATGACATAGAGTCCTAATAGAACTAGCAAACTGCAGAAGCTATCAAGCGAACCTAAGTTATTCATAAATTTCGACGTAGATTTTGTTAGAATTGTTGTTTAGCATTTCAAGACATAAATGGAATCAATAGCTGTTAAATGAACAGAAACGGAATCAACTTCAAGCACTGTCGACCAGTATGAAATGAAAAGGTATTCGTACGATTCGTATTTTTATAAGTACCATATTATGCGCTGCGTTTAAGCTATATATACATCCTTCAACCTACGCCGTGCTCATATGTTTCTATTACTATTCATTACAACACAATAAACAATATCTTTGGATTTTTCTGAATATCTCCTCCGTCTTAATTCGTTTCTTTGCATATGAATTGTGATGAAGACTGACTGTTTGTTTTTTCTTTGCCTTACCATCTTTATGTGTTCATTTCTGCATTATGATCCGAAACGCAACAGATGTTTCAGCTTTCAACATTTCAACTGAAATGTTGAAGCAAAAGCTCCAAGATGATGAGGGATTAGATATAAGAAATGAAACGAATTGAATGAAACGTGCGAATGATTAAGTGAATGAATTAATTTGTTATACTCGATCACTCACAATTTTCTCAGCAAAAATCTTCGATCGGAAAAAAATCTATCTTTAATGATAATCATTAAAGTTTCAAATGAATCATTCACATTTTCTTTCAGCTTCTCTGTGCGCTTTTTGTAATCACTCCAATAGAGTTTCCATTTTGGCAGTTTTCTTGATCACTGAATGATCAGCGTTCCAATCTTGAACTCTCTTCTTCATTCTTCTTTTTTAGGGCAATAATGTCACAGTATTATTAACCGAACAGATGAAATTGCAGCCAAATTTGTTCACTGACACAAATTTCGAACACATTTAGTAGTCATAACTAATGTAATTCTTGTTTCGCTTTTACTACCAACTGATTCAAATCAAATTGAAATTCGTTTTGTATTGCAAAAAATAGCTTCTGAATACACATGGTTGAGATACTTGTTGCACCNCGATTATGCGCATCCACTGAAAATAAAACAAAAAAAAGCGAATCAAAACAGCTTACTTACGCGATCATCGCTTTTTGCCAAACACATTCAACGAATCAATTCCATACGTGCAGCAGTTTCTCATCATCATCGCCCACGATATCGAATCACTTGATTCAGTCGAATAATCAAAACCAATCTCACCAAATCTCGAGGAAAATCAAAAACAGACGTTGTTTCCTGTCTCAGATCAGTACCAAATGTGAATTTTGTCTGTGGAAACGAATTAATGTGGAAACTTTCAAATTCTGTGGTCTTCTGAAGTGTTTCATCAACTTTTTATGCCTCTTGAACAACAAAACAATAAAAATACGTATAGTTCAGCAATGTTTTAGCAATAATTTTTCTTTGAGCACACATTATTGTCTTACTATGTTGCAGATTTTGTACGTCTTAAAAACCAATTGAACCGATCAAATTAAAGCATTCAGTCTGATTCGAACCATACGAATTCTCACTCATCCACATCCGCTCTTCTTTATCGTCCTTCATTCATCCATCATAAAACCCCAGCAAACACCCTATCCTGAGGCATTCACAAGTTTTGCTCCTCAACTGCTGGTCGTTGGCTCTCAGCTCGCCTTAAGCTTGCCAGTCTTCGAGCTCTTAGATTTTCTCTTTGCTAATTCTTAGATTCAACTTGGTCGTTACTGAATGGCGTTTGATACTCGATTTTTCTTGATAATTTCATTTTCTTATTGTGATAAGAACATTCAAAAGATAGACCAACTCACTCATAGAATCCGGTGATCGCAGAAAATTCTCAGAGTTGGGGGAATACTCCTTGAACGTCTGAGGTAAGTTTGTTCTCCTTAGAGTTCCGATTGTATTGTTCATCAGTGATGAGACGTTGTTAAAATGGCACTGCCGAAACCCGGTTTCGGATAGTGAATTGGAGAATCGTATACGAGCCCAAATTCCTGCAACAAATCAGTAATCAGCTCTGATGCAAATTCTGTACTTCAGTACACTCTTATCATTACCGAAATCTGCTGACGTACAACACCAACATCGAAGAATTTTGCCTTTCTTTGGTATTCGTCTTGTTTGTGACAGTGTTTGTATAAGATTACATCATGCGTCAGCATATTTCAGTAAACCAAATAATAAAAACCAAGAAAAAAAAGTGATCCATCAAATTGTTGTATCAGATATCATCAGATATCTGATAGAAGAATTTGATAGATCACTTTTTTCAGATTTATGAACTGGTTTGTTATGCTTATCACCATTGCCATTTCGGTAAACCATGCCCATTGGAATGGAATCACCGTTGAATCACTCCTCCTTCAAACAACACATATAACCATTCCGCTGCTTATAATTTATTATCCTACCTTCCACTCGAAATAGATCATTGTATTTCCTCCTCTGCGCCTATTGTTGTTACCTTCTGATGTTGGCATTCAAAACATCCTGATGAGTCATTTATAAGGCGATCATTTATTATAAGGCGATACGATTTGTTTGTGCACTGTATGTTTGCGTAAAACATAACGGTCATCGTTTGTAAGCATAAGATGCGCTTATTGGTAAACAGTATATTAACTATCATAGCGAATCCATTAGAGCGGTCATCTGTCGGAATTTAGCTCATTAATCGAAGGTTTCAGAATGATTTGAGCTAGGTTAGGTGATCATTTAGAAATAGTATTGTTATTTTGTTCATCGATTCATTCTTCAATTCTACTTCAGTGGATTCTCGCGTGGGTTCATGCGAGAATCTTAATATGCTAGCAGGCAGTTGCGTGAAAGAGTCAACGATCTCATGCATTTCTATCTGTTCATCTGATAATCTTCTTAGCTGATTGTGTTGTGGCATGGAAATTCCGCCCGTTGTTAGTGTCATTTTCGTCGTTATGATCGTATTCAATCATTATCAATATCATAACCAATAACCTGAAGAATTTTTTAAAACCAAAAACTTCACCAGCTTTCTTCAAAATTCCTCCAATAGCAAGAATCATCACAAGTCATGTAGGATACTGATATGTTCATCATGAAAAAAGCAATGAATAACAGTAGGTGAACGTTCATATTGATCGCTTCACTGCTAAGATATCTTCTGCTCGATCGAACGTGATCAGTTTCAGTCAGTTGCTAGGGCTTTTATGACGTCTCTTTTTTTTCGCGATAATTCTCATTTTGCATCGATAAAATCTTTTCTGCATGCTTGTTATTATCTCCATCATCACTGTTAGCATTGCAGTCGGAAGGAATCTCATCCACTATTGAATCTCATCTACTGAAGATGTTTTGAGCCATTGATTTTAGTCAGTTCAATGTCATGTGAATTTTTCTGATAATATTTCTTGAATTTCATTCCATGTGAAACGAAAAAAAATGCATTTTTCAAAGTGATCATTCCTCATTGTTTCTACCAATTTCTGCAATGGACCGTGTCATTTTCATTGTTCTGTCAGTGGGTAATTTCAGTTTCGCCATCGTTTTTGTTCTCATAAGGCAGAAAAGGTATGAATTCCTCACTTCTGACGAATTCAATACTTCCTCCTAACATTGCGTTTGCTTATAAACCGTCTGATTGTAAAACCGTTCGCATTTCTGCAACCTAGACTCGACGTTCCCAAGTTAAAATGATAGCAAAAACAGTGAGGATGAATTCTTTATCAATAATTCCTAATAATAACGTTCAGTTTCCATTTATCTAGTAGCTCAATAATGTGATTTGTGTAGATTAATAGATAAATGCGCTCAGCAACTCACGTCAGTTTGCTTCCGGTCATATCGTCGCCTTGCTACGGGAAAACCCCACGAATCATCTTTTGAAGTGATCGAATTTAACGGATATATCTGAACGCGTTGAACTTAATACGTGTAGTTGCATTACGCATTTGAGACTGACTATCATGGACGTTTCAGGAGGTAAATTGCGAGGAGTTGAATCTTTTGTGATAGCGTTGAGGGTGATTAAAGGTACGAACTCAACAACAAATTCAGCGAAATGGTGATAATGCCATTACGTACGGCATTATCCATTTCCGCCATCTCTGTTCTTGTGCTTCTCGCTTCTTTTACTGCTCATGTGCAATGTACCGTTGCTGCAAAACCTTCATCAACCAAACAGAATGTTGAAGATTTGATCATTGACGAAGGCTTTCTCTTGACAACCGTTAAGCAACAGTCTCCGAAAGCTGCTAATAATCAACCGAAAAGCGTAAATTCGACGACTATCGTTAATAATACGAGCAAAATTACTAACGACAAGAAACACAATGATAATGGTGGTGATCGAGTGACAGCGAAACCCTCTGAAAGCAAGCAACAACAGAAGAAGCAGCAGCNAGCAGCAGCTGTCATCTCCTGCTAAGAAAAACCCGCTCAAGACATACATTACCGGCACCAAAAATGCTCCAGTCACAGGATTGGAACGATCCAAAAGGTTGCGTCCATCTTCTAATGCTTCACTGTCATTATCGTCACTATTATCAGCGAAAAACTCTCAACGCAACAAGTCTCTCAATCGTCCCTTGACAAGCATCACAAAACTTTCAAGGTCATCATCAATCGCTAGATCCTCTCAGCCATTGAGAAGAGTGATGATTCCGTCGAATAAACGACGACGAGTTCAACTCCCGAAACAGTCTTCTGATCTAAGGATGCGTCGCAAGGCTCAAAGCACCAACGAGCAACTGGACGAGGAGACTTCGGATAGCCGTGAGCCAATTCCTCTGGATCCATCCTTCATGGACGCCTATTCGAACGGTAATGCACGCATCACGGTGATCGGTCGCGACGGACCAACAATAACGGCTGAAAATCAACAAGACTTCATTCAACCGCAAATAATTGAAACAGATGAGCACATCTACCCGATTGCGTTCGAAGAGGTGGAAGTGGTCGAGCCGGGTAACGGTGGTGACTACAGCGATGAGTATTTGCAAGAAGGCGATAATGAAGAGCCAAGTCAAACATTTTTACCGGATGAAGAGCATTTGGTCAGTGTTTTTTGATGCTTTCATATGTTTTGTTGTTTTTATAGGGTGCTTTTCAAGAGATGCGAATCTCTGACGACCCAAATGATGCTGCAGTAGCGTGTGATGACGAAAACGTAAGTTGACCCAAAAAGTTTTTGAGAGCGATGGAACCCTTCCCTTCTATTGCCCTCCTCTAACATGAGTGCCATGAATTCATGGCACTTTGTAAAGATCAAAACCAATCCTGTTCGATCATGGAAATGGTATAGAGTTTTCTTTAATCAATCAGATTAATGACGTAGAAATTTTAGCAAATTACCCAGTACCACTCAAACAATGCCAGTGTTTGAAACATTCATTTGCAGACTTTCATTTTGATTCATTACCGTAAAGGTTGTCTGGTGTGTGTGTGTGCTTGTTATATCCGAAGATAGACAAACAAACTCAAACAACAAAAATAGTTGATGAGGGAAAACTTTTGATCAAAAAAAGACCTAATATATGGAAGAAAGGACCATATTTCAACGTCGTTGTTTTAACAATCTACAAGCATAGTTAAATACTCGATTTGATTAAACTGATGCTGTATGATGTCTGCTTTGATTTTGTACTGAAAACATAGTTTTAAGTGCATTGCATAAGAACATCTGGGACAACGTATAAATAACAAGCAAATTGCATTTATCCATTCATAAGAAGTGAGTAAATCATTTAATGTAGAGTTGCATAAAGATGACGATCATTACTGAGAACAAAGAAGAGGCATTTGTGATTGTTTCAGATAGTTTTTGTGTTGTTTTTTTTTTCTTAGTTAGCTACTTATGTATTACTACATACTAATAGCATTAGATTACGAGTGAATTACATTGAGAGGACTTCCCTTCGCTTCGCAATTCAACGAAATGACTTTTTTTTTCAAAAACGGATTTTTCTCATTCATTTAAGATTAACAAGCAAAAAC